GAGTCCGGTTGGCAACCCGGGCAGAACCGTGGGGCCACTCGCCAGTGTGGCCTTGCCACTGCCACCGATGACTGGCTCAGCCTGACGCCCGTGGAGGGACACCCATCACCCACGACCTGTCCTGACTTGGCGAAGTGGGTGCTCGGCACAGGTAGGTCTATTGGGGTTGTCATCCTGCTCCCATGGCATGGGCACAGCTGGGGATCGCTCCTGCTCCCCTAAAAGTGGCTGTTTAAAAACACACCCTGAGCTGCAGTGCTAAGAGCAGCTCGTGGTTGGGCTTGTGTTATTTTGAAGGGGCTCCCACCTGGCTGCAGGTGCTCCTCTTGTCCTTCAAGTGGTTTTTCATAGCCCATGAACCACTGTCCAGAGCTCTGTTGGGGTTGATTTCTGTGCTGATGCCATGTCTGCCACACTGGCAGCAGGGTCACCCAGGGCTCAGAGGGGCAAAGGGAGCGGGGAGAGAGGATGGGGCGTTTCTTTCTCCCCACTGCTTGGCTTAAGCAGCAGTGGTGGCCACAGCAGTGGGTTTTGAGCAATTCTGTTCCAAAAGTTACCAGCTTTTTTGAGAAGCCTTGTCCAGGTAAATTTCAGCAGTGAGGAAAGGAACAGCTGGAAGGTTGATTCTTCTTCTCCACTAGGAATACCTGCAGGGTCCAAACCTGCGTAGTTATACCTGTGTGGGAGGAGGGATCTGGTCAGTCTGGGGTTGCTGTTCGTTTCCCTCATTAGGAGTAATCACAGGTTAATCAAGAGAGGGTTGGTGTCTGCTGCTTGGCACACTCCATCCTGATTCCCCATCCCTCCTTGGGTCACAAGGTCTATAACTGGCCCCTGGAGTGGATGGATGCAGTTTGTGGCTTTTCAAACACAAGTAAAGCCTGAGCTTTGGAGACTCAAGTGGAAATGGGGCAGGGCAGGAGAGGATCCTGGCAGGCACCTGGCACAGGTAGAACAGAGAGTGGCCACAGTGGCTGGGACCCAATGCTGGCATTTCCAGACCCTGCCACAATCCTGATGAGGTGTTCCTGCAGGAGGGGTGGCTCCGGAGCCTTGGGCTCCTCCAGGTAACGCAGGATTGAGCTGGAACTCTGCTTTTCTTCTTCCTCCCTTTGTGTTCTTTTTGCTTCTTCCCCCCCTGCTGCTTCTTTTCTCTATTGTCCAAAGCCCATTGTTTTCCTCCCGTTTTCCTGCTCCCATTTTTCCAGTCCCCCCTCCCATCCTCAGGAGCAGGCAGAGCACTGCCTGGACCCACCTGGACACAGTACATTTGCTGTGGGGTGTCTCGGGGTGTCCTTGGACACGCTGTGCCTGGAGAGCTGCATCCCCTGAGTGCCATGAAATCCTCCTTCTGCAGCGGCAGGACAGGGATGGGACACACCGTGTTCAGAGTGCCAGGGGACTGAGCTGTGCAGTGCCACTCTCACTGGCAGCTTGTTCCCGGCACGGAGTGAACATTCCTGCTACTCTGGCGTCACCCACATCGGCAGCAGAGGAGCACGGCAGGGCAAGGGAGGGGAAGCAGGTGGAAAAAAAGGGGAAAAAAATGTTCCCAGTGGGGCTGCTGGGAAGCAGCTGGTAGCTATTTTTGGGAGCTTCATTCCTCCCGGTGCTGCAGCTGGCACCTACCTGTGCGGCCGGCAGGTCCTCGCTCCTCGGTGCTGTCTCTGTGGCTTCGAGGCGAAAGGGGACTGTCCCTGTGTCTCCGCAGTGAGGGCTGGGTGAGGTCCCACCATGCTCATTGTGGTCCCTGCCCTGCTGCCAGGGCACTGGGGGGATGCACGGAGCCGGTGGCAGCGCAGCCGAGGAATGCAGACAGCTCGACACACGATGGTGCAGATAATTCAAATTAAATTTTAATCTAGCGTGAATTAATACTGTGGCATTAACATTTCTTCATCAGTACCAATTACAGTGCATTAGCAGCTACTGCTGGAGAACACAATAGTCTCTAATATGCGTCATTAATGTGTAACAGATCCCTCTGGGTCATGCCTTCCCACCCCAGATAAAAGCAGCCACGGAGGCAGGCAGGGGTTTGCAGCCAGCACACCCCTTTGGGGTTGGCTCTTACTCCCGGGGCCATCGTGGTCCTGGTGGCACCGTGATCCTGAGCAGGGGTTGGCACCGGCCCCTCCAGCCTCATCCAGGGTCTGGCTGAGCACTGCCACCTGGAGAGCCCCTCTCTCAGCTGAGCCCCTCTCTCAGCCCTCCCTGGCCTCATCCACGGATGCCAGAGGCTCTGTCACAGCTCCCAGGCGGCTGCAGGACAGCAATCAGGGCTTGAAGGTAGGCTTGAAGCCAAAATCCGGATTTTTCCCCCCTCCCTCCTGATGCACCAGCCCAGCAGAGTTGGTGGGTGGGAGGGAGGAGAGATGAGGCTGCACTGGTGTGGGGTACAGCAGCCTGGGGTGAGTCCATACTGGGTGATGGCATCACCCCATCTCCTTCCCATCACGGCTCCATTTGCTGTGGTTCTATTCCCCAAGGCCAACGGGAAGAGCTGGTGATTCATCCCTCCACACCACACAGATGTGGCAATCGCAGTATCACAGAGAAACACAGCACTAGAGAAAAAAGGCACTTTTCTTTCTAATGTTATGATAAGAGGGATAGAGAGGAGAGAGGGGATGGAGTCGGATGGATGCAATGGTGGCTCTGCCCCCCAGTGACCTTGGTGGCCCTGAGGGCCTGGCTGTGGCTCAGGGCTTGTGCCAGGAACCAGGCAGGGGTAAGGGATTGCATCCTGTAGTGTCCTTGCCAGTCACTCCTGTCCCCTCTCTCCTGGCCTGGAACCCAGGAGCAGTGCCTGGAGGTAACTCCCTCAGAGAGGGGCACAGGCACAGGTCCCTGTGTGTGTCCCCAGGAGCAGCTCACAGGTGGAGGTGGTGGGTGCCTGGAGCCCACAGAGCAGTGGTGGGTCTCCCAGAGCCAGCACAGGGAGGATGATGGGCTCTGTGCTGTCTCCCCTTCCCCAGGCAGTGGCTGCAGGGCGAGATGGCACGGTGGGCACTGGCACTGGCACTCTGCCTGTCCCTGGCTGCGGTGGCATCTGCTGACTGTGTCACCCAGTGTTCCCTCTGCGCTGCCCAGACCCACGGCACCGAGAGCAGCGTCCGGCCCCTGGTGAGTGCTGGCCCTGTGCAGATGTGAGCGGGGTGGTCATGGCAATGGGGTGTTGTGGGTGCATGGTGGCACCTGGGGGGGTGGTCATAGGCACCCCGGGGTGCTGGGGATGTGCAAGTTTTGGCTCCTCACTGAGCTGTGCAGCATGGTGGGCATGGACCCCTGGGCTTGGGGTGGGGGCATCCCCAGGGTGGGGTGGAAAGGTGGGGTGGAAGGTCACCCTGAGTACCTGGGGCCGCTGTGGCTGCTATTTTGCAGATGTGTCTATGGGAATGCCAGGGCTCCTTGCCACCTGGCCCTGAGTGGGAGATGTGCAGGAAGGCACTGGCACTCCTGGCCCCGCTGGTGGCCCTGGTTGAAGGGACAGACCCGTCACCACCGGAGGTGGAGGAGAACGAGGCAGAGCTGGAGCAGGAGTTGGGTCCCGGGGAGCAGCCACTGGCACCGGCCAAGCGCTACGGGGGCTTCATGAAGAAGATGTCCAAGGGGAAGCTGCTGTCCCTGCTCCGCGAGAACGCCCACAGCAAGGGCGGCCTCACCAAGAAGTTCGTGGGCTTCGGCCACAAGCCAGAGGAGCGGGCAGCCCCCGAGGACTACCCGGGGCTGGGGCCAGCAGGTGAGGGGAGTGAGGAGCCTACGAGTGCCGGGCCCGAGGGGCAGGAGCTGGCGCAGCTGCACAAGCGTTACGGCGGCTTCATGCGCCGCATCCGGCCCAAGCTCAAGTGGGACAATCAGAAGCGCTACGGGGGCTTCCTGCGGCGGCAGTTCAAGGTGATCACGCGGTCTGAGGAGGACCCCAGCGCCTACTCAGGGGAGGTCTTGGACCTATAGAGCCAGGTGTGGGATGACAGCACCACGGTCCCCACTCTGCCAGCCCCGACTGCTCCGTCGTCCCCAGCCCCGTCCCCTGCCCAGCCCGGCGTGGCTGGTGTCATCCCTGCCTCATTCCCCCAGTGAACCATGGGTCCCATCCCCAGTTGTCCCTCTCTGGTTCACCTGCCCATCCCTTAGGAACTCTGTGCATGGAGGGGACAGTGCCACCCCTCTGGCTGCTGGCGGTGTGGCCGTGGTCCAGCCCTAGGGCTCCTGGGGGCAAACTGCTGGAAACATGTATCCTCCGTTCTCCTGTGGCTGCTAAAGTGTAGCAGCAGGGTCTGGAAATCATCATAGCTGATGTACAGGGCAGCGGCCTCTGAGCACCGGGAAGGATCAGGGAGGTAGCTCCCATGGCCATGGGCAGAGGTGGCTGGTGGCACCACAGCCCTGTCACTGGGTGCTCAAGCGGTGCTGAACCCAACCCTGACTCCCCTCGAGATGCTCACCGTGTCCCACCCATCCCAGCACCCTCCCGGTGCCCCTGGGCTGCCCCTCCAAGAACAACCCCAGAGGCAGGGCCAGCCCCACATCCCGATACCCAACTCCCCCTGCAGTCAATAAAAGGCAGATGCCAATGAAGCCGAAGCCATGCCGGGTGCTGAGCATTCTCCATGGGGCAGAGCAAGCCCTTGGCATGAAGGGACCCCCCAAGTTTGGGGCTGGGCTGGGTGTCAGTGGTGCCACCTGCGAGACCTGCAGGCAGCACACAGTGGTCCCCTTCCTGTGCCATGGGTGTCAAAGGGAACGTGGGACCCCATGCCTTCTTGGAGCCATGTCCCGGGGGTGACAGGGCACCCCAGCTGAGCAAGGGCAAGGCAGGCATGCTCAGCATGGTGTAGGGGCATGCAGGGTGCTGGCAGGGTACCTCCTGCAGCAGCACTCAGGGAAGGCTCCCTTGGGAATCATGGCTGCTGCTCCAGCAAAGGCAGTCATGCCAAGGGGAGTGGGCACACTGCCCCTATAGTGCTCACATGTGACCCCACCAGCAGCAGCACAGTACTCAGGAAGCCCAGCCTGGTCAGCAACTTCCCTTTTGAACTTCTTCATAACCTCACACTACAGTTCCTGGCTCCCGTGAGACACATCTTGTGTCCCAGACATGGCCAGGCTGCCAGCTCCAGGGTGGGAAAGGGAGGAGGTCACTGCAGAGCACTGGCATGCTCAGCTCACCCACAGCACAGGTTGCAGCCAGCACCCAGCCCTGCCTGCACCCCACTTTGGGCACCCCAGCTCCAGTTCAGCTCCCAGGGAACAGGGGGCACCTAAAGATGCAGCAGGGCCAGACCCTGACCAGTCCTTGCCCATGTCCACTGCTGCCCTCCCTCATGCTGCCCAGGGGAGCACCAGCACAAGAGCCCCAATCCCAGGCTCATCCTCCTGCCTTCCTCTTCCCACAGCACATTGCAGGGCTGTGCAGGATAAACCCCCTCCCTTTCCTTTTTGCTGCAGGACACACAGACCCCCAACCCCACCGTGCACGCCCAGTGCAGGTGACAAGGTGGCCTCCCTGAGCACAGGGACACGCTGATGTGCGGGAGCAGCACAGGACTTTTCACTTTTATTATAAAAATATCTTGCAAGCAAAAAGAAAAAAAAAAAGAAACAAACAAAAAAAAGTCTGTACAAGCAGTCACATTGCTCCCAAAGCACCCCCAACTTCCCCCAGCCCCCTGCCAGCAGCCAGGGGGGCAGCCCCACACATTTCCTCTGCTGCAGGAGCCAACACAGGGCAAGAACCTGCATGTTGGCCCAGAGAGGGGGCACATGGAAGACATTTGTCCCCACGAGTGGCCTGGGGGGAGCCTGCCTGGCCCCCAAAATAGAGCTGGGGGTTGGGGCATGTAAGTGTCTTATAAACTCTGTAGGGGTTGGAGGGTCTTTTTACTGAGGCCTCGGTCTTAATCTCGCACATCTTATTCTAGTGTTAAGTACACAGCAGTACACCCACGTACAACACAAAAACATCGGGGGGTTCAGCTCTAAAAATTAACAGTTACATGTCAAACAGTCAAAACATGTTACATGGTACCTGCGGGGAGCTCCCGGGGGGGGAGCCAGGCTGGGGGGACCCCGCACGCTTTGTACAAGCCTGGGGCAGTGCTGGTGGGTCCCGGTGCAGGGCAAGGCTGTGCAGAGGAAGATGATGATGATGAGAAGGATACTTGGTGCTGGGGAGCCAGACCTGGAGCCCCCCTGGACAGCAGGGTGGGGGCTCGGCTCGATGGCCTTCCAGCCTCTTGGCCTTGGGGCGAGACCGAGGTCCCGCAGAAGGGACACTTGGGAAGAGAGGCGGACACTTCGGTCCTTCCTTTAAAGCCAGAGTGTGGTGTCCAGGCGTGGTGGCAGAGCCCCAGAAGGCAGTGTGGGGGGCCCTGCTGGTCCCGGGGAGCCGTGGGCCAGGCAGTGGCATCCCCATGAGAGCTGGTGTAGAGGCACTGTACCTCTCCCCTCAGCCCAGCTGGAGCTTCCCAAGGAGCTGCTGCTCCGCTGGCTGAACCCGCTCGTGGGCAAACCCGGCACACTGAGGCTGAGCGACTCCCAGGGGGGGTCCTGAGGGGATGGAGTGGGCAGCCCTAAGACCAAGCTGGCCCCAAAAATCAGGTCTCTGTGGATGGGAGATGACCCCCCACAGTATCGCGGGTTCCACTTCCATCCTAAAACACAGGTACCGCAGCACATCTTCACATCACTCCCAGTGCTTCCAAGAGAACCCTCCCAGGGAGGAGCAGAGCTACCCCCCACGGGACAGGGAGTCCCAGCAGCCACTGCTCACTTCCTGGGGATCTGGACGCTGGCGTACTCGGAGCTGGCCTCCTCGGGGCGTGGGGCCGGCCGCTTGGGCGCCTTGCTGAGGTGCACCATGTCCAGGTCGGCGTAGGTGAGGTTGTCGTCACCGTTGGGTGCCTGGCTGGTCTGGATGCAGGCGTACTCCGACTGCTGGCCCATCTCCACCATGCGGCGGATGGTCTTCCTCTCCTTGTCGAAGTTCAGGTCTGCATAGGTCAGGTTGTTGGGGTCGGATTCCTGTGCGAGACACCAAGAGTTCCTCCTCTGGGAGGACAAGCGAAGACCTCCCTGTACCCATCACCCACTCACCAACCCACAGCTCCATGCTGGAATCAATCCCGCTGCAGCTTGTCTCGGGACACCTCAGTCCCCCTGCTTGTACTGGGGGAACAATGCCAGCAGCCACCATCCTGCAGCCATGCCCTACCCCATGCTACAGCTTCAAATCATGAGCCGCCCTGTCACCCTGCCCTGGTAGGGATGGGCTTCAGAGCCACTGCCACAATGCCAGAGCCACCACTGAAGCCACTCCATCACCCTGTCCCAGCAGGGCCAGCCTGCCCAGCGATGCCCACGAGGGAGCTGGCAGAGCCTGGGTGGGATGGACAGATTGCTGCTGATCACGATTTAGCTCGCAGCTGCGTCACCAAATGCAAAATAACTCCACAAATAGCCTGGCTGGCTATCGCACAGCTGGTTCTCCAGGCAGCACAAACCCAGACTTTACTGGGAGGAGGAGGAGGAGGGACAGCGAAGGCAGAAAAGATGCTGGGAAGTGGCTACCCCATTCCTGGGGCAGCTTCTCTTCCATCTCCAGCCACAGTGTGGAGACACCAAGAGGTTTCACTGGGGAACCACCACCCTCCACTGGAGACACTGAGATGTGTCACAGGGGAACCACCACCCTCCACTCCCATCTCTGGTGTTTCTCAGCCACTCTCCCTCCACAGTCCCAGAGTGAATGGACCCACCTGCATCGTGGCCTCGCTGCTCTTCTCCGGTTCATGTAACCTGGAAGGGGGAAAAAAACCAGACAGACAGACTGAGTGCCCTGTTGCCTCTTCCCTGGTGATGGAGCAGCTGGGGAGGTCAGATGCAAACTGAGGACCTTGCAGCTGCACCCAGCAGGATGGGTCCTGAGTGTTTGCTCATGTGCTGGTCCAGCTGCCTCTCTGCTGGCCAGAGACCAGCTCCCACATGCCTGCTCAGCCCCACCACAAGCCAAAAATCACCATGGGAGCAGAACCCCAGCCAGGGAGATGGGCAGAGCCCATGCTCCTGCCTTCCCTTTCACAAGTTTTGGGGATCCAGCTCTGTCCCAATCCTGAGGGACTCTGTGGCTAGAGGTGTCCCGGTTGGAGTGCCCACAGGATACCCAGTGACTAGAGGAGATCTGCACTCACCTGGCAGTTGGTGAGCTTTTACCTGCTGGAAGAAAAGTAGTTTAGGAAAGAAATAATCCAGGAAACAACATAACCTCCCACATTTCCCCAGGCATGGAGCAGAGACTGCTACAAGGGCAAGGACACATCTCTTCTCAGAGGCAAGTGCCTACATTTCCCTGGAGTTTCACTCCATTCCCTGCAGGAGAGGGCAGGGGTCAGACCAAGCAGAGCTTTCTCTGCTGCCTGCAAATAGCCAGGTCACCTCTATCCGTCATCCCACCGGGCAGGAGCCACCAGGAATTGCCCAAGCACTAATGTGAGAGAGAGAAAGGAGGAGCTTGGGAGCAGCTGCCTCCCTGCCACACACTCAGCTCCCTTACCCTTGATCTGCTTTGTCCGGATGAGGTACAGAATTGCAGCCACCAGCAGGGCCAGCACCAAGCAGACCACAGCCACCACAACATAGATGAGCAAATTGCCTGAAACATCAATGAAAAGGTCACCATGGCACAAGAACCTGGTACCACCAGTCCCTGCAGACTCACAGCTGGGGTTGGCCCAGTTACACATGAAGTCCCAAGGAGGACAGCTCGATGCCGGCCACTATCACACCCTCCATCCCCCTGGTACAGAGATTTGGTCCTTCAACCAGATTTTGATGGGACTTTGAGCTTTCTCAGGGGGTTACACCATACAGCCACCCTGGCAGGCACCCCACCCAGCTTTGACGCACCACTATTTATCTGGGACCACTTGCTTGGTCCCTTCTCATCCGGGCTGGCGATCCACAGGATGGCTGACTGGTTGACAGGGGCCTGATCATCATGTACCACCAGGCAGGTGAACACAGACCCATTCCTCTCCTCTGTTGCTTGCACCTCCACCTGGCTCCTCAGCTCCAACAAGCCCTGGCGCAACAGCGATGGCCGGGAGTCGTTGTGCACCTTCATCTTCATCCCATTCTCCAGCCAGGAAACAGCCACATTCGCTGGGTAAAAGCCCTTCACGTGGCAGGTGAATTTCACAGTCTTGTTCAGCTCAATGGGGCTCGTCTGGTCAGGGCTCACATCCACACTGGGGGAAACTGGGAAGAGAGGCAGCGCCTGGTGTCTGACATCCCTGGCTCTGCTGCCCGCAGGGTGCCCTGTCCCCACCCCATGACCCACTGTACCCACTCCAGGACCCCCAGCCCCACAGGAGCAGGACACCCCAGCACAAGTGCCCCAGCCCTCACCTCTCAGGACTCTGTTGAGCTGGTACATCCCCCGCAGCAGGGTCTCTGACGCAGAGTGCTGCACCTCACAGATGAGCCGTGAGGGGACGTCACCCTCCCCTAGGACCACTGTCACACTGCTGGACATGTTGTAGGATTTCTCCCGCCATTCAGTGACCTGGGGCAGCTGAGATGAGATG